GCGGGGGGGGCAAAGCACCCATCCCACGTCTCGCTGCCACCCCCAACCCCATCAGGCTCTCTTTTATAGGCGACCCTTTCAAAATGCTGGCTTGTCACGGGCCCGAAGCTGCCTGAACTCCGCTTGGCAGTCCCAGCTGCAGGCATCTATCTTCAGTCTTCCTCATGGGGAGAAGCAGGTGCCCACAGAAGACTGAATGTTGTTTTGGCTATGAATTTGTTTTCTCGGGGAGTGGGCAAAACGAATTCTGATTTGCCACCCACCCTAGTGTTTTGGTGAGATCCCTCCCCCTCACAGGGGGAGGAAGGGGCTAGACAGGATCTGGGATTCCAGGAGTCGGCGCCAAAGGCGCCCACCCCTCCGCCACCGGGTCTTCCTGCAGAAGGGGCCGCCTTCTGCCTGCTGTGGCTGCTCGTCCCGGGGTGGTGCTGGCTTGACTGGTTGCTGGGGCAGCACCGAGGAATTGGCGAGCGAGCGTGTAACCGAGCTCTCTGCAAGATGCCGGGTAGAAGCATTGAGGCAGGCAGACATTTAGTAAAGGCAGGGGAGGAAGCAGCCAGGAAGACAACAGCTGGCCACCTCCAAGGGAGGGAAATGCCAGCAGCTGCCCAGTGGAGGTGAGAGAAGCTAGCACGTTGCCAAGGCAGGAAATGTCCTCCGGGGAGCTCTGCTTGTCCTCCGATCCTGCCTCTTTTCTCTTTGCTCCTATCCAGTTTAGGGCAGGAAGTGGGGTTGGCACAAAGCAGGTACACCTCGCTCTTGCAGGCCTGCAGCTTCTGTTTCTCCTAATCCTGCTCTTGGCTGGATGTCAGTTTCTTTGTGGTAGCGGAGCCAGGAGCCCAGAGCTGCTGTTTTGGGGCCTCCTGAACTGCACGTAAGTCTTCGGCTCCCATAATTGTGGGGCGGGCATGGAGGGCGAGGCATGAACCCCCCTTGCTGCTTTCCCCAGCGGGGGGTGGGGGTGGCATCTGGGCTCCCCTTGTGATCTCTGTCAAGGAAAGCAGGAGGATCTGGCTGACCCCGTTTTCCCCTTCTCAGAAGGGCAGCCATGGGGTGACCTGGCCAGGGCCAAAAAAGGGCGAACCTCCTCCCCCACCCCCTGGGAGAGGCATTTGGGTTGCCAGCAGATCTGTTTTGAATGGGGGTCTTAGAGTTACGTTGTTGTCTTGATGATTTAATTGTACAGAAGAGTTGCTGCGGTGGGGCCAGAGACAATAAAGTATTTTTTTATAA